ATGAAGTGTTCTGTTACTGTTGTGATCTAATACTTGATCTTCAAGAGTTGTAAACCAAAGAGGTTTTCTTCCTTTAGATATTTTACAAAGTCTTGGTGCAATATGCTCCCAGCTAAGAAGACAAGAATTGTCATATGTAGAGAGTTGGTCTAAGTAGAGAAGATGAAGTTTGCGAAGTTGTTTCTTAAAAGATATATAGTTAGGGTGTGAAAGAAGTATTGATTCAAGAGATATAAAGCCTTCTTGAGGAGTGTATGGAATTTCATAAGTTGGATTGTGAGAAATTGATAAACCAAGATGATTAAAAAGTTTAAGAATTTTAAAATTGGTTGAGTTTTTATTAGAGTTTTGTCATATATTAATACAAGTTAATATTATATTAAAATAATAAAATATTTGTCTATTTCTAATAGATACAGAAAAGCGATTAGCTAATAAGCGTGGCAAAAAAAAAAAAAATACTGACTTCTCAATATAATGGTAAGAATTATATTTTAAAAATATTTTATTTAACCTAGTTCTTAATTTCTTATATTTTTTATATTTTTTATAGACGTTGGCAAAATTAAAGAAAATTCTAGTAAAATTACAAGTAACAACTAATTATTTTTATTTATTAATGGTTGTTAGTTTATTATATTATTAATACAAACCAATAGGTTCACCACCAAAAAAACAAAGACTACATAAAGATAAACATATAGAATCTTATATGAATATAGATGAATCTGACCAAGAGGATCAAGAATCAAATTCAGATATAGAAACTAACAATAATGATATAATAGTATCAAGGTTAACACCACCTTTACCTCTAAACGAAGAAGAATTATGCAATAAAAGATTATTAGCCAATAATGAAGAATTTGAAGAACTTAATTATAAGTAATTAATAGATACTGACAAAGTTATTAGCTTAAGAATTCTGTATGTTAATTAATATTTAACTAGACAATCAGCAAATTTCACAAAAACCGGATGATCTTCAAAGAATTTTAAGTGAATTTGAAGCTGCTGCTTGGTTAGCTAAACACCCACGTGTACTTGATTTAGCATTTGAAATATAATGCAATGTCACGAACTTTGAAAAATTCTCAAGAATCTTCATCAAAATTAAAGTTTTCGTTAAGTGATAGAATGTCATTAATTACTTTAGTGCCAGATCAGGAATATATTTGCTATTTTTTGCAATATTTATTTATTTAATTATTTAATTTTAACTATATAATTATAAATTTAAATAGACAATGATAGCAAACTTAGAACTTGAAGCAAAAGCATTATTTTTAAGAACAAGGAATAATACTCCTGCATTGTATACTGAATTAGCATCTGCTGAATATGGTATCTTCAAAGTTGACAAGCAGATGCTAGCATTAATTAAGAAGGTTGGTAGTTGCTTTGATGATTATCGTTATCACCTCTTTGCAAAGCTTCGAAAGAGAGCTGATGAATGTTTGAATCAATTTGGGTAAGTTTTAAAATAAAAAAATAATAAATGTTGCTATTTACTACTAGTGGCGATATCACCGAGATACTATATCTCAAAAACTTACTTGCTAACTCATGTCAGGAGTATTAAGTAAAAATGGTCAGAACCATAAAAACCTAAAAACAATATATAAGAAGTGGTAGTATCACCACTAGTGGTAAATACTAAAATTAAAAATTAAAAACTAAGCAATTATTAATATTAACTATCAAATTATAGTAATATTGCTCCTACCGATGCCCAACTTCTGGACTTTATTTCTGAGGATATATGGTATAAGATACTTTCTCAATTTCTTGAAGCAACAAAACAGCCTGCTCTTCATAGTAATAAAAGAATATGGAATACCTTGGGTGATTTTGTTCAAGAAGCCATTAAGAAAATTATTATTTCAAAATTAGAGAAAACTGATATGAAAGTAGCACTTCGTAGTTGTGATACAATTATTGTCAACTTGCCAATTCCAACTGTACTTGGTGTTGTCGCTCATTTGCCAGTTCAAGATTTATTAAAATATAAAACTGGTCAGCAAAGAAGTAAATAGAGATAAGAATAGCAGTAATAGTTATATTCACTATTATGTAAATTAATTATCAAATGCTTATTGATAGTGATAGTTACTATTATTACATTACTGCAAGTAAAAAATTTAAATAAGTTTCAATTAAATATATTTCTAATACATATATATTAGAGATATATTAGATTATTTAATCGAATTTGAAAGTTTTTTTTTGTTATAACTTGAGAATGGCATTACTAAATTTCTGAATTAAGATATATAACTAATTCTGATTGTTAAGTTTTAAGCATGACTTTGAATCGTAAAAATTTTAGTACTGTAATATAAAACTTAAAAAAATTGTACAATAAAAGTCAGAATGAAATAAGAAACTTTTATTCTTATTTAAATAAATAACCTATTTATTCATTATATATCTGCGATAAATCTCTATTTCTTGTATATATTGATATAATATTACTTCATCTAACAATTTTGTAATATAAATTAAATCTAATCACCAATTACAGAAAATTTATTTTTACTAAATTAAATATATGTACATACCTTATAAAAATAAGCAAGCACTACAGTTTTTATATAGTCTTATAAAAAACTTATTTTTAATAGATTTTTGATCATTATTGGTAGCATGCTCTTGATCGTGATTTTGCATACATGCAGGTAAAAAATGAATTTTTTGAATACAGTGAATATATGAGATTGGATAAATTCGAAGAAATTGTTGATTATTCATTATTTGTTTGTAATATGGGCAGTCTAAAATCAAGTCTTTTGTATTGGTTGCTTGAAGCCATTTTAAGATAAAAAAAATTGCAGATTCATTATTATTTGCTTGATATTGTAAAATCGCTTGTATTTTTGCATATGTAAGGCCTTCACTTTCTTCTTCAATTTCAATTATTTCACCAACATGAAATTTAAGTCGAGTTGATTTTCTATCATTTTCAATGATAGTATATGAAATATAATCAAAAAATTCTAATTTATTATTAAGAAAAGCACTTTGTAAACTAAAATATTCTGAATATGATATATGTAAATCATGAAAAAGAGGATGCTGACTGCTTAGCTTTGTCGACCATTCTTCAATGTTTGCTCTTGTTTTTGGCCATTTATTTCGTAATACTATATCTATAAAATTTTTTGGTATCAAATTTAAGATAATTTCAATTTCTTCAATATCATCATTGTCATTAATTTTTAAGTTTTGATCTGTAGTATATTGTTTGCAAAGACTTGAATATAATGAAATGTCTGAAAAAATATTTGATAATTTATTTATAGTAATTGGAAAATGGTAATCTTTGCTACCATCAAATAAGTGAGTTAATACAAATGAGGTATTATATCGCCGAAGGAGATCTAGTTCAATATTTTTGTAATTAGTATGTGGTACCATATTTTTGTATATTCTGTGTACCATTTCTTTGACTCTAACAGATGTGTTCACAAAAGTTGCAAATGTACGAGCATGTTGTGGCAAATGGACATTTACATAAACATTAGGTAAGTTTTTAAATATGTCTAGAAAAATCTTCAAAAAACCAATTTGTTCTTTTTCAAACAAACTGCGAAGCTCCTTATAAGTGTCATTTGTCATTGTTGTTGAGAAAGCCAACTTAAGTAGTTTTGCTTCAACTACCCAAAGTTCTATTGGTTTAATAATAGCATGATCATTACGAGTAAGCTTATATATATTTTTTAAATGTTCAATTATTTCAGCCTTTAAATATGAAGTTAATAAAAAGTAACGTAGAATAAATAGCATTAACATTGCCAAGCGTAAAGTATTTAAAAATGTAAAACTATGATGATAGGTTAGCAGATTTGGCATCCGTGACCATCTTGCTAGTTTTTTGATACTTTTCTAACACTTAAGCCAAGCTACTTCTCCATTAGTATTTAAATATCTAAGAGTTATATCTAGAAGACGTGTAGCTTTACCAGCAAGTACATAATAAGCATCTTGCGGTGATTGTAAATGTCTGTCCCAATAAAGAGTATCAAGAACTGGCTTTGCACTAAGTCCATATTGACTAGATAGTTGTGATGAGCAGAGTTTGTTTGTGCTATGCAATTTCATTATATTGTATATTGGTTAAGTGGTAAAAGCATGCATTTGCAACAAAATCAAAGTTGGAGTTTGTTAATTGGCTACTAGTTACAGAACAAGTTCTGCAACCATAATTTGTATTATGTCTAAGCATACCAGCAAGGTTATTACCTTGGGGCAAATTGGCTGTAATACAGCCAAGTCTACCAATAAGCCATATTTCTCCTTCCAAAGTATTTATAATTTTTCCAGATTGTAATTGGTGAATATTATCAAGAATTGGTTTAATAAAATCTTTAAATAAAGCCCCAAATAGAACAAAGCCAAGTAGAAAATGATTTTTGAGTAGCTTTCATAAATCAAGCGGCATATTTCCAATAACTAAATAAACCTCTTCTAATGAATGATATGAATTACGAAATATTCCAAAATCATCGAAGTAGATTCAAGAAAAATCTTTTTAATAGGCATTGGTCATGGTGGTAATAGTGGAATAGGTATATATTCATAAGGAGCTCTGTGCCTTTTAGTAAGGTCACGAATATACTACCAACTATTAAAACTATATAATATTTCAGTTACAAAATATTCATATTCTACTGGCCTATCAAGATCCTTTAACCAAACATTAATTTGAGTAATATTTTCAGGTATAATCAAACACTCTTGTCCTTCAACAAGCCAAAGTTCTTCCATATTCATTCCACATGCTTTTCTATTCATACTACGCAAGTGTCTAGGAAACCCACTATATGGAACAAGCGAATCAGCTCTGATTAATTGCCTCTTATTAACTTCAACAACACTACGAATAAGTGCAAACTTAATTGCTTTGTCTTGGTGATAATGTAAAAAATTGCTTGCTTGATAAGTAACTAATAAAAAAAGACTAATTAGTATGGTAAACCAAAGTGCTAAGTTTTATTATTGCTAAAATAAAAAAAAACTGCTAACCATTATTTGCACAAAGTTTAATTTCTCCAAATAAAGGCGAGTCTTGCCAGAGTGTACTATGCCAGAACTCATGTTTTTTCATCACATACAATACCAGAGCCAAAGTATAAATTAGATGCAATTGTTGGATTATTAAGAATATATTCAATATAATCTACTGGTATTATTGAATATGCAGGTTTGGTTGAACCAGAATTTGATAGGGTATGCTGTCTAGAAATTGGAACTATATAGCTCTAAACCTTGAGCAATAGAAGCCTATTTCTCCATTTGTGAAAAT